AGGCAGACAATGGCCGCGGGTCGGATATATTTTCGCGAGCTCGCGCCTGCTGGCAACATTTTGTCATGCGTTTTGCATGGCCACTAGCAATTACCCAGTGGTCTGTAATCTACACGCAATCATGGTTTACAACGGCGAAGCTCCGTTGAATTCTCTCTATGGTTACCCTGTCCAGCTTCAACCCTATCTCGCCCTCTCCCACCCTCTGTCTGCTTCATCCACAGAGCGATACGCAATGTCTACACGTTTCATCGCGCAACGTTCCTCTCTCGACATTTAATTACACCGCCATCGACGTTGTTAAATCTCCGCGTTGTGTAATCCGCGAGAGGAAAAAAGGCGGAGCGAATATTTTCGAAACGATTAATATCGGACGATTGCGAAAGTTTTCCATGGGTCGAACGATGAATTTTCGATTCAATTACCACGGTATCGAAAGTTTACATTGAACATTTATGAAATGAGATGAACAACTCGGTTATGCTTCGGCTAGAGCTATTTTCGCGTTCATGGGTGGCGAAACTTGTTGGAATAATTTATTCGTAATTTAGGTCTTTCTGAAAAAGTAGTCCTCAAATTTCCAACTTCCAAAATTTTCCTAAATTTTCAAATCCCCAAATTTCCACACTTTTAAATCACAAAATCCCTAAATAAATTTCTAAATCCCTAAATCCATGAATCTCCACATCTCTGAATCCCTAAATCCCTAAATCCATGAATCTCCACATCTCTGAATCCCAAAATCCCTAAATTTCTAAATCCATGAATCTCTACATCTCTGAATCCCAAAATCCCTAAATTTCTAAATCCATAAATTTCCACATCTCTGAATCCCAAAATCCCTAAATCCATGAATCTCCACATCTCTGAATCCCAAAATCCCTAAATTTCTAAATCCATAAATCTCCACATCTCTGAATCCCTAAATCCCTACATCCTCCACATTCCCAAATTTCCTAAGTCTCGAAATTCTCGAACAACCCCGAAAAATTCCTAGAAATCGCGTAAAAATGTCTCTTCCTTCATCCACCATAAATTTACCCTAGATACACACCCTCTTTTATTACAAAACCAGATAATAACCTATGCGATATAACGAGAGAATTTCCATCTTAAATAATCGGACCTCTTGTGCTCTGTGTTACAAGTCATCCTGTGCCGCTCCCTTTATCGGCAACAAAAGTAAACGCCATAAATCCCGTCCCCGTTCCGTTCTAAATCTTCTTTAACGTCGTTAATTAGCGGTCCAAGACCGCGAGAGTTACAAAAGTGCGTTGAAACAAGCTACTCGAGTTACCTTTTTTTAACCTCGTATCCCGCCGAGCTTACAAAACGGGGTTACGTTGAAAAATGCCAAGTTATAACTTCCACTTTATGCAACTTACGGATACACGTAGGCCAAGTAGGACAAATAGCTTGCTCGGATGGTCGTTTCATACCGGCGACGAGTCAAAGTCCAGCGACGATGTACAGTCGACAGCAAATCTGTCTTTCATAGGAAAATCATGGCTAGGAACTTGGTCATTATATTGTAGGAACTTTGAAGAATCTGATCATCCAAAACGGGTGAAGGATTTGTGAATCTTGCAATTTTTGGGGATTCTAGGAATTTTTCAATTGTGGCAAATTTTGGGGTTTTTGAAATTTGCAAACATTAGTTTAGTTAGAAAATATTAAAGTCCCGAAATTCAAAAAAGGGTGAAGGATTTGTGAATCTTGCAATTTTTGGGGATTCTAGGAATTTTTCAATTTTGGCAAATTTTAGGATTTTTGAAATTTGCAAATATTAGTGTAGTTAGAAAATGTTAAAGTCCCAAAATATAAAAATTCCCAAACTTGCAAATCCAAAATTCAAAAATTCGAAATCCATAAGTCTGGAATAATTCTAAAACTCGAATAGTAATTTGAAAACAAAAAATTCTAAAGCTTGACAACCCAAAAAATTTGCATATATAAAAATTCGAAGACAAAAATTTGTTAACTCGAGGATGAAAATTGGAAATTCGAAAAGTTTTCTAGCATCGATACGTGTTTTGAAGGAAGCTTTCGTTGCACTCGAGTGTACAGGTCGGCGAGTAATCATCGCGAGAGTTAAGTGCGACGAGAACCAAGAGTATAGATGGTACGAAGGGATAAAGAAACGTTTGTGTCATCTTGTTTCTCTTTGCCCGCTGTTTCTTTCATTTCCTCCACCTACAGCCCTCTTGAAAACAGGGGTGAATCAACCCCTTCGCCAGCCAGTGTCTTTGCTTGGTAACCGGCAATTATTCAACCGGGATTTTTGTCTCGTTATAACGACGCACCGTGTGCTCGAGTACGATGGTTTTGGTTAATTAATCGGTCGACGCGGTAACCATTGGCGTAACTTGATACGAGACAAAATTGGACATACTACTCTTCATACATCGATCGATCGATTACACCAGAAATTATTCCAGTAAGTCTAAGAACATATTTTGGTTCTAAGAAAATATTAAGAAACTTGCTTTAAAATGTAACTGAAAGTACCTCGAATGTTTATAGTAAATTAATTCCTTGGGTATAAAGAAGAAATTCGAACAGAAAAATTGAAGAATTGAAGAATTGAAAAATTGAAGAATTGAAGAATTGAAGAATTAAAGAGTTGAAGAATTGAAAGCTTGTACAATTGAGTAATTGAATGATTGAGTAATTGAATAATTGCATAATTGCATCATTGAAGAATTGAATAATTGAAGAATTGAATAATTGAAGAACTGAAAAATTGAAGAATTGAGAAATTGAAAAATGGTAAAATTGAAAAATTGAAAAATTGAAAGCTTGAAAAATTGAGAAACTGAAAAATTGTAAAATTGAAAAATGGAGAAACTGGAAAGTTGGAAAATTGGAAAATTAGAAAACTGAAAAACTGAAAAACTGAAAAATTGAAAAATCGAAAAATCGAAAAATCGAAAAATTGAAAAATTGGAAAACTGAAAAATTGAAAAATTGAAAAATTGAAAAATTGAAAAATTGAAAAATTGAAAAATTGAAAAATTGAAAAATTGAAAAATTCAGAAACTGAAAAACTGAAAAATTAAAGATTGGAAAAATGAATAGGTTAAAAGATAGAAAAATTGTAAAATCAATAAATTAGACAATTGATCACTGCAAAAGTTTAAGAACTCAAAACGCATATAATCAGCAAAAGCTTATAACATTCCATTTAACAAGAATTAACTTACTCCCTCAACTATCTTCGACCACCGTAATTCAAACAAAACCTATGCCGATACAAATAAAACAATAGAACCGCCACTCTGAACAAAGGCAAAGATATTAGCCAACTCCAAACAGAGAGCCCAGTTACGCCAGTGGTGGCAGTCGACTACCAAACGAAATTATGATGGTTTTCCCCATTAAACCCTTGCCGTGGGTTTCGTTCCAATTCTCTTCGTTGACTCGATTTACAATTGTACTACCGAACATTTCCCAAGTCTCAAGGTCCCTGTTTCGTGTTCTTTCCTTACAGAGCCCCGTTAATAGACCCTTCCATCTTCGTCGAGGCCCTTCTATTGTTCCAACGTGCTCGCAGATTACACGATTTAGCCCGGGCTGCATCATCGTCGCGATTCCCCCTTATCATCGCACCCTTCCAATTAAAATGCACCGCTGGCTAAACGGTGGCTCGCGATAGAGGGACGGGAGTAGCCTTTTTACGGGAACCCAACCATTAATTGTAGCGTTAATCCGCTCGCATACTCTCTGTTGCAAAGAGAACGAGGGGTTGCTAACTGTTTCGTGGCAAGCATGCCTCTCGATCGTTCCATTTATACAACACGGTGTCGATCGTGAATTTGACACCCTTTCTCGGCTTCTTTTGGTCTTTGTCAAAGAACGAGTTTACCTGGAATTTTGTGCGCCGGATTCTTTAGTAAATTAATACTCTGGGACACGTAAAGTCCTGAACAAAATTATGTAGGAAATGTTTTTGATCTGGTAGGTCAGGCTGAGGGGTGTTTGAGAAGTTTAAACATTTACTTATTTGACAACTTGTAATTCAATTAATTTGAAAGGCAATGACTGTTGTAATTTAATAAATACGAAAAATTAAAAATGGAGAAATCTTATGAGATCATTAGATCTCAAAAATCGAAGATGGTTGTCTAATCATATCTAATAAAAGACACAACAAGGTTTCTATTTTATAAACACACAACATTTGCATATGAGTTATATATGAGTTTATCAGTGGTTCAATAAGTGAACAAGCAATTGGTGATAGTTGTTCAATCATACCTAATAAAAACACAAGGTTTCTAAATCTCCAAATTCCTAAATTTCCAAATTTCTAAATTTCCAAATGTCTAAATCTCCAAATTCATACATTCCCAAATTTCTAAATGTCCAAATTCCTAATCCCCCAAATTTCAAAATTTCCAATTTCCTAAATCACCAAATTCCCAAATCTCTAAATGTCCAAATTCATAAATTTACAAATCCCTAAACCCCCAAATTCCTAAATTTCCAAATTTCTACGCCCTCAAATTCCTTAATTCCCAAATCTCCAAATCCACAAATTCCCAAATTCCCAAATTCCCAACTTCCCAAATTCCCAAATTCCCAAATTCCCAAATCCCCAAATCCCCAACTTCCCAAATTCCCAAATCCCCAAATCCCCAACTTCCCAAATTCCCAAATTCCCAAATCCCCAAATCCCCAACTTCCCAAATTCCCAAATCCCCAAATTCCCAAATTCCCAACTTCTCAAATTCCCAAATTCCCAAATCTCCAAATTCCCAAATTCCTAAACCCCCAAATTAATAAATCCCCAAATTCCTAAACCCCCAAATTTCTAACCCTCAAACTCCCCTTTTTCCCAAACCTCCAAATCCCTAAATCTCTAAATCCCCAAATCCCCAAATCTCTAAAATCCAACAACTCAACAACTGAACAAGCCATCAAAAATTGCTACTCAATCATACCTAATAAAAACCCAAGACTTTTATCCCATAAACTTACAATTCCTTCATATGTTTCAGAGGAACATCATTGATCCCAACCGGTCAATTACGAGTGAGTCTGGGCGAGTACAACCTGCGAGGACCGGAAGTGCCAGCGTCCAAAGAAGAGCGGGTATCGGGCGTTATCCTGCACCCCGGCCACAAATGCGGAAAATACGCAGACGATATTGCCCTTCTGGAACTCGCAAGGCCAATCAGTTGGTCGGAGAGCGTGAAACCCGCCTGTTTACCTGTGGCCACAGGAAAACCAGGCTACAGCGCCTTCGGCGGCGTACTAGCTAAGGCCGCCGGCTGGGGCTGGTTCGGCGAAGACAGATCTAAATGTAAGTAAATAATTCCACGTCCTTTCCTAACAGTAATTCCGCCAGGCAACTCGTCCACGTTAATTGCTGCCTGAAATTAATTGGACGACGTAAAATCAAACGCGGTCCGATGAGCTTTTTGTTTTACCCGATCCGAGTACTCTTTTTAACGAGGTCTTCACGAACGGGTTGCTCGATTGATGAAGATTAAAAGACGAAGGTCCTCCGTTTTGATACAAACAGAATCAGTTGTTAGCGCAAATTGTCAAAGAGCGCACAAGTTCTACTCTTGCGAATCTTATTCTGCACCGGGTTTTCGCTCTCTTGAATCAAAAGAATCTTGCTACCTTTGGCGAACTTTAAAGCGCCTTTCGGAGAAATCAAATTTCGACGACTCGAAAGCTTTTCAATCGACGACGATTTCCACTGTGCGCGACTGGCAGCCAAGTGAAAAATATATCGCTGGTGATTTTCGACCGGACAAACAAGGGTGAAAGGATTAGTTTGCACCATAGGTTTCAGACGATTTATTCTGTTTGACTTTATCGAGTTTTGTTGATTTTAATACACAATTTTTTAATTTTTATTATTTTAAGAAACTCGAATATTGGGATATAATTTAGAGGTTTAGATCCTGTAGCAAACGTTCTGCTGTCTTCCAGATAAACGAGCGGACGTGTTGCAGAAAGTGGACGTTCGCGTGATCGAGAACAATGTTTGTCGCGAATGGTATGCCAGTCAGGGCAAGTCGACTCGCGTGGAGCCGAAGCAAATGTGCGCTGGCCACGAAGAAGGTGGTCGAGACTCTTGCTGGGTAAGTGAAATAATACTCTCCTATCCGTTTCTTGGTGTCCACGTGTTCCTTCCTTGAAATTTCAGACTTTATATATAAAAATATTTGACCTTTGGAAAGGGGATGCAGTTGAGAAATTTTAGAATCCGAAGATTTGGTAATTTAAGGTTTGAGAAATTAGAAATTCGGAAATCATTTGTCTATTTTTTAGCTTTATTTTCATTTCAAATTAAGTGCACCGTAGCGTTAAAAAATTTGAAAGAATTTGAGTCGAGTAATTTGCGAATTCGGAAATTAGAGCAATCTCTAATTACACGATACGATCGTTTCACAAGCGTGCTACTATAGCAACCAATCATCGTATTAGCAACCACAATCACAGGCAACTAAACGCAGTATGTACAAATCAACGATATCGTTCAATGAAGTAGAAGACACTCTCTCAAATGGGTCGCAAACGGAATACGCAATAAAACGTATCGGTTTGGAAACGCGTGCACGTATTGGCGAATCCTTTCCCCGCATCCTGGCGGCCATCGATAATTACGTTATATCGAACCGCAATATTTTTGTCAACATATTTTTTTCCTGGGTCTCTCGCGTGTCACCTTTTTTTTCCACCCTTGTTTTGCGGTCCAACGATTTGGCCTTTCGCGGTATTCGCTGTTAATTCAACGTACGCATCCGTTGCATGACCACCGATATTTATTGAAATTCGTGTCGCGGTCGTTCGACGGGGCGTGAATTTCGTACACGTAAACGATTGACAGACCTATTCGTTATCTAACAAGCTGGACATCGATTGGAAGATCAATACTCTAAGAATTATCGATAGAATACATATTCCCTTCTTTGCATCGTGGATTTTTATTGTTTTCGTAATTATTTTGATTCATTTCCTAATTTGTATCACAAGTTCATATACAAATTATCTTATGTTTCTAAATTCCTATATCTCCAAAGTCCAAAAACCCTCACTAAAATTGTACCTACACCGCGTAACCCATCCATTACCCACCATTTTATTCTGTTGATAACACATAGATGTGAATTTTCGTAAATTTCAGTTTGACGAAGTAAAATATTGAAGATTCTTGTGAGTTCCTATTTTTACGTGTTTGCAAGATTTTGCGAGAAAAGATAAATGTGATATTGAAGATGGTATGTATTTTTACAGGCTGACAGTGGCGGACCATTGATGATCGGAAGTCAATCGGGTGATAACATGATGGTGGTGGGAATTGTCTCTTCCGGGGTGGGGTGTGCTCGGCCACGTCTTCCTGGCTTATATACTCGAGTCTCGGAATATGTACCTTGGATCTCGCACCATGTACTTTCGATATGACGAAGAAGATTTTGAAGCTTTGGACCTTTCGATACCATGCTTTATGCAATATAAAGACAGTTTGTGAGATATTCTACAGTAGAGAAAATAAGAATGAGAAAATTAATTTTAAGAAACGTGGCAATAGTTTTGTTCCGGTAGTTTATGCATTTTCAAATGTTTTTGTTGAAGAGTTAAACTAACCATTTTTGAGAACATACTTCCACACGTATATTTCCACATAGTTAAGAATTGAAAGTACAAAGAATTCTCTATAAGATGTATACTATAATTTAATCAATGCCAATAACTTATTAACAGTAATGTAAATTGTGATACAACAAATCCTATTAAATAGTACAGGAAGGTACTGTAATTAAATATAAGTAATTTGTAATATTTGCTGTACTATCTAGTCATGTGATAAGTACTTAGACAATTTCTGTATATTAAAATTACAGTAGAGAGTGATACGTAAAATATTCTATTACAAATGTATATAATCATGTACAAAATATGTTCATCAATATAAATTAATTTATTCAACATTTCATGTTACATTTAATGAATTATATCCTTCTTTGTTTTCTCGGTCTTGGTGGATTCCATGACACCCTAGTATCATCTGTGAGAGAAGCAACTTTTAATCCTGACAGCTGAATACCTTTTAAAGCACCCTGAATAAATAATAGTAACAATTATTTATGATAAATATATTATATAAGAACACATTTAGTTGCTCATGTTCGATATTTACCGCTCTACCAGCTCCCAGACCCTGAATTCTTACCCTAACCGTTTTAATTCCTTCATCAAGAGCACGCTACGAAATTGTAAAAGACAAAGCAAAAGTTCAAAGATATTAATATATATCTAAATTAATAAATTAATATTGTTACAAGAAATTTTCAGACCTGTCCAACTATATAAGCAGTTTGCTGTGCTGCAACATTAGTACCCCTCCTTGAATTTTTAAAACCTTCACAACCAGCAGAATGCAAAATCATCACTACTCCTGTAATGTAAATTATAGTGGTTTTTCATTATATATACTATCGTAATTACAACGGTTTTTGAAGAATACATATATTAAAACTTACCTCTGTAATCGGTAACAGTCATTATTGTATTATTCATAGTTACTTTTATATTAACAATGTGCAGCCTATTATAGGGTACATTATTAAACAGTGTGGTTGCCGTAGTAGCGTCAGGAAATAATTTGATTCTAAAAGGTTTTTGAAACGTTAGTGTAAACATTGATTATCAAGCAATCAACCAATCCTTAAAGTACTTACGTTCCAGGAACAAGAGGCATTTCAGAACTATCCTCACCAGCAACAGTACTACTTTTCGCTTGCTTGATTCTAAATTTTTCTCTACCCACTTTTAAATCCTTTTCCACATTTGAGGTTAAATGAATTCTTCTAGCATCAACTAAGTTATTTACAGGTAATACAGCAAGTTTTTCCACAGGCAAAATCATTGACCTCGCGAAAGGACGTATCGCTGATTGCAAAATGGATTTTATCATTTTATAATTAATTTCGTACACTTAATTATAAAAAAACAAAGGTTAGCTGAACACTGTATCAACACAGGATACAGTGCACTCTACAGTGCACTTTGTTAAACTCGTACAGAAAGTCAGATGAAATACAGATAGCAAATTTAATTTAATATAAATTTATTGTATTATATCAAATAAGGACAAGTGTATAAATAATGATTTAATTCGTATCTGGAAAATATTGAAAAAATGTCTGTGTTATCGACTCATGATATTACCACAAAAGATAATCATAGATGAGATATAGGAAGGTTTTAAATTAAAATATTATGTATGATGGTGTTACATGGAGATTTAAGACTCTACAATATTAATATTAATCAATAAAATTAGGATTAATTGAATGTTTATCGAAATGGAACAGGTGGCGGCATCTCTCCGGCAAAAAGGGTGAAATACACACTTTTGAAACTAGTCTGAAAACGGTATACGGGGCGTCATCTAGCGGCAGCTCGAGGGAACTAATTAAGGGGCTGTTTCAAAACCGTGTAGTTCACCCTGTCTGTTGAAGAGATGGCGCCACTAGTAAAATTTTATATATACACTATTTTATAAATTTACAGAATACTTTAATTATTTTACGTGCAAAATAGAAGAAAAAAAATGCTATATAAATACAGATTCATAAATTCCGTATCACCTAATAATTCATACTTCATAATGCACAAAATAAATAAAAATGCCTCCGTTTTTTCACAGTTCGCGTTATTATTCATCGTCTATTTTTTAAAAACCCATATTTATCCCCTATTTGTCCACTTTAAATCACAAAACACATCTATAAAATGTGCCCACTATTTATAATCAGTGTCATGCTATAAATGCATAAATATCCTCAGTGCGGTAATTAAAATCATAATCTTTAAGGGGCGGAAATTTATGTCATTCGATAGAGCGGCGTAATTACGCGAGAGAATGAATAACACGTGAAAAATGCGTAGAAAAATTGTTTCGTGATGCCTCGAATAACCGCCATGAAAGGCGATAAAGCGCGGCCGTTAAAAAGCATCATTTTAATAAATAATTGCGTTCAGCGAAAATGAAAATCACCATACAATATTCACGTGTATGATCATAACAAAATTCCATTATAAACCCCTCACCGTTCATATCTCGAATTGAATATGAACTCGTCTATCATCAGACATCCCACACGTCGAACTTATTGTGGCGCTCCAGCATTCTGTACATTTCGATACTGAATACGTTAATGCAACCCCCGGCCCCAATTTCTGCCCCCGCGCGATACTATTTTATTAACATGCTAAAGCGAGAATTCGAAATATTATGCCGGATTTCAACGATCCTAAATTACATATTAAGTATCATTAAATTTTCATGGGCTAAAATGAATTGTGCGTTTAACAATAATACGAATAGCAGAACCAACGTACGTTTGTGCGCGTAAGTAATCAAAATCAAATTTCACCTTTGGACAATGAACGGTTTTATTCAACTTCTGTTACGAACACGAATATTATAAGACCTATCGATGACCGACAAATTGAATTCGTTATGGAATAACGGAGATTGCAATGATTTAAAAGATTTTTTAATTAAGGGCCACTCAAAATTCATGCGACGATGTATTGTTACTTTGTTGGAACGTTCTTTGCTTTTCGCTTTTGTTACGGTTATGGGGAATTATATTCGGTGCTATGTATTGATTCTGTTGGGGGAATATTTTGGGTTTGGGAATTTGGGAACTCAGATTTGGGGAATTTGGGGAATTTGGGAGGGCTGAGGGAATTTGGGAATTTGAGGAATTTAGGGAATCTAGGGATTTTAGGGAATTTGGGATTGGGAAATTTCAGGATTTTGGGAATTTGGAATTTGGGGATTTTGGAATTTGGAGATTTTGGAATTTGGGGATTTTGGAATTTGAAGATTTTGGTATTTGGGGAATTTGGAATTTGGGGATTTTGGAATTTGGAGATTTTGGAATTTGGGAATTTTAGAATTTGGGGATTTTGGAATTTGGGAATTTTGGAATTTGGGGAGTTTGGAATTTGAGGATTTTGGAATTTGGGAATTTGGAATTTGGGGTTTTTGGAATTTGGGGATTGTGGAATTTGGGGATTTTGGAATTTAGGAATTTTAGAATTTCGGGATTTTGGAATTTGGGGAATTTGGAATTTGGGGAATTTGGAATTTGGGGAATTTGGAATTTGGGGAATTTGGAATTTGGGGAATTTGGAATTTGGGGATTTTGGAATTTGGAGATTTTGGAATTTGGGGAGTTTGGAATTTGAGGATTTTGGAATTTGGAAATTTTAGAATTTCGGGATTTTGGAATTTGGGGAATTTGGAATTTGGGGAATTTGGAATTTGGGGAATTTGGAATTTGGGGAATTTGGAATTTGGGGAATTTGGAATTTGGGGATTTTGGAATTTGGAGATTTTGGTATTTGGGGATTTTGGAATTTGGGGATTTTGGAATCTGAAGATTTTGGAATTTCGGGATTTTGGAATTTGGAGAATTTGGAATTTGGATAACTTGGAATTTGGGGATTTTGGAATTTGGAGATTTTGGTATTTGAGGATATTGGAATTTGGGGATTTTGGAATTTGGGAATTTTAGAATTTCGGGAATTTGGAATTTAGAGATCTTGGAATTTGGGGATTTTGGAATTTGGAGATTTTGGTATTTGGGGATCTTGGAATTTGAAGATTTGGAAATTTGAGGGCTTAGGAGTGTGGAAATTTAGGAATTTAGAAGAATAGAAATTTGGGGGTTTAGAATTTTAGGGATTTAGATATCCGGAGGGGTTGGAATTTGGTGATTTAAGAATTCGGAGATTTAAGAATGTAAAAATTTGGTGTTCACAGAATTCAGAAATTTGGAAATTTGAGAACACAACAATTTAAGAATATCAGAACTCACCAATTACGAGCCAATAAAATAAATTATGAAATCCCAGAAAATCCTACGAAACGGTACAAAAGAACTCCACATCGCAGGTAATACAAATAAGGTATTGACAAAATGGTTATAAGAAAAGTAACGCAAGAAAACCTTCAGCAATATTGTTGTTACGTCAATAATGCATTAATAGGCTCGATGCAAATCATAAATTAGCTGTGAGAGGGTAAACAAATCCCCAGACTGCACTACGTCAGCTAAGAGTTAATATTGCAAATGGAGGTCTCGCGCAGAGTTGGGCAAAATGTAATATGATTAACGATTAAAGGTTATGATTAAGTGAATTCAAGACGGTAATCATGACTAACGATAAAGGATGCAATTGAAAATCTCAGGATAGCGTAAATAATCCAATTATTCGAGACTTTGAAGATCATCCGTTTTATTATTTCTTAATTTTCGAATATTTCAATATGATTATAATTATTGTAACACTATATAATTTGGATATTAAAGAATTTATGAGTTTGGTAGTTTGAGGATCTAAGAATTAAAGAATATCAGAATTTATTAATTATAAAATAGTGAAATACATACATACATATAGAGTCATACATCTATACAAACATATAATTCATATTAATAACATATACAGAATAAAATATCATTATTTTAAATTTTTCTAAAAAAAATTTTTTTTTTAGAAATTTAAATTTATTTTTATTTTTTTTCCTATAATACAAATATTGATACCAACTTAACATAAAATTTCTTTCTCTATTTCAATACTGCAATGATTAGTAACTTCTATCACATGCAACAAATAAATCATAGTTAAGTCCACAACAACATGGCCGCGTAACCCTCGCACAAGCGTTAAAAAGTCAGAGACGCGATACATCACGTACTCGGAAAGTTATAGAAACATCTTGTTTTTCTTCTTCAATTCTCTGTTTTCTTCCCCGCGTCCATCCCTTTCAGCAAACTTATATGGACGTCGAAATTACGGCGATCCGTACATGTGTACTTGAACCGTTACCAGAAGTATCCCGGTTGAAAGTAGATCAAACGAAAGTTTGTTTATTTAACACGGCTTTACGTGATGCCGAGTTTTCGTCGAAAAATTATCTCTTGTTCAATGATGCCACCCCTCGCGATATCGGCGAAGTTGCCGGGGAACAAGTCCTTCAACGTTGATACTCGTGTCAACCGATGAATTTTTCATACACCACTTCCGACCTGCTCGAGCTTTCTCTATCGTCGTGACGGATGATTAAATTCTGACCTAATCTGGACGACAAATCCGACGATACAAGCTGTTCGCGATCGAAAACACGAGTGGATCAGGCTGCTATAATATTTGGATCGTGATACTTTTCTTTAGGGCTTGGAAATGGATATGTGGATTTAAGCGTGTGAGGGTGTGGAAGATTGGGAACTGGATATGTGGATATTAGAGTTTTGGAGAAATTGCAAAAATTAAAGAATTGGAGAATTGGAGAATGGGAGAATTGGAGAATTGGAGAATTGGAGAATTGAAGAATTGAAGAATTGAAGAATTGAAGAATTGAAGAATTGAAGAATTGAAGAATTGAAGAATTGAAGAATTGGAGAATTGGAGAATTGAAGAATTGAAGAATTGAAGAATTGAAGAATGGGAGAATTAGAGAATTGAAGAATTGAAGAAGGGAAAAATTGAAGAATTGAAGAATTGAAGAATTGAAAACCTGAAAACTTGGAAACCTGAAAACTTAAAAACCTGAAAACTTAAAAACTTGAAAACTTGAAAACTTGAAAACTTAAAAACCTGAAAACTTAAAAACTTGAAAACTTGAAAACCTAAAAACCTAAAAACTTGAAAACTTGAAAACTTGAAAACTTGAAAACTTGAAAACTTGAAAACTTAAAAACCTGAGAACTTAAAAACTTGAAAACTTGAAAACTTGAAAACCTAAAAACCTAAAAACTTGAAAACTTGAAAACTTGAAAACCTGAAAACTTAAAAACCTAAAAACTTAAAAACTTTAAAACTTGAACCTTGAAAACCTGAAAACTTGAAACCTTAAAAAATTGAGAATTTCCACATCAACAAACTTAAAAATGAAAGAAACTCAACAAACAGGAAAAAATATAAAAATTCTAAAAAGCAAAAAATTCGATAATCTGTTAATTCGAAAATGTTTATATC